TGTGGACATTTTTAGATAGATAAATAGATAAGGTACAAATGTGACACACACACATATATATAGATAATGAAGAAAACAGGAGATGAATATTATAACATACGCATATTAACTCCGTTTGATCAACATTATATTTTAATAAGTGAAGTAGGATTTATCTCGACACTCTTATACTTACCTTTACGCCCCAATGAACTCCGACCTTCGTTTTTATTCTCATTACCCACCGACTTCATCATGATCTTTTTCCATCGGCCACCTTTTCTTCACCCATTACCACCCTACGCACACATCTTAATTCTATTTTTCACTAGGATGCACCCAGCATGTCGCAGATCTCGACTGTTTACCTATCTGTCGTGAGAAGCCTTTCAACTCTTCACCCCACCTCAAATTTGACACACCCCAATTCAAGTTCACGCATCTCCCTGCCAATTTCTTCCGCTTTTCAATCTTCTCCTCTGTCAACACAACAAATTTATATGCCTTCTGCTTCTCCTTTTTCTTTAGATCGACACACACACACGCACACACACACACATATATATATATATATATATATATATATATATATATATATAGGGAGAGAGAGACTGTTCTCTTTTACTTTTTCTTTATATCGATATAGCAAGTTTAACTTCAATTTTATTCATCTTTTGTTCGACACACACACGCACATTGATACATACATACATATATATATATATATATATATATATATATATATATATATATATATATATATATACTCAATGCGAGGAAAGACGTTATTATACAAAATGGACACCCCAACATTAAATATATCATTCACACACATACATATATATAAAGCAATGATCTTATATATTAATCATACATACATGCATATATAAACAGACAGACACACACACACATACACATCAGGTGTGGATTCTGACTGAATGTCGGATATTAAGTATAGTTACTTATAGCTCTGTTTCATAACAATGAGCACTTTCTCTAGCAAACCCCAGGAATAAATATACTTACGTACGTGCAAGTATTTGTGCATGTATGTAAATTATTATCTTATCTCTTTGTATATATATATATATATATATATATATATATATATATATATATATATGTATTTATATATATACATACACACTTTCGACAAATTTACTGATTTCTCTTGATTACGTCGATATATTTTATTTTATTCAAATACTTTAGGTTGACATAATTTTTCGTCTTCTTCATCATATATATGTATACACAGACACAGACAAAGACACACACACACACACACATATATATATATATATATATATATATATTATAAATTAATTGATTTAAAATATGGTTATTTTCGCTACACAGTTCCAACCATGTTTCAAAATAGAAGCTAAAAAACCCTAATTTTATTTTTGCAAATAAATTAAAAGCATTAGTTCCATTTCATCTTCAAGCGAATTTTGGAGTAACTTTTAAAATTTTACGGGTTTAAATACACAGCTAAAATCACGTTTCCATGGTTACAGAATATTCTACTCAAATTGAACACGGGGTGTCTAGATTTTCCTTATGACAGTATCATTGTATCAGTTATTAGCTACATTTTGGTAAGGGTGAGGATGTATTTTTACACTGAAACCTGACGTCGGTTGAATGGATGTCGTCTGAATTTAAAAAAAAAAAAAAAAAAAAAAAATTGTTAACGGTAAAAATTTTCAACGTCATCTTTTAAAATTAAAGATTTTTTTACAATACTTTTATTTAACTACGATATATATATATTCCTCCTCGCCACCATATATATATATATATATATATAGGGTGTCTTATATTGGGTACCTCGAGGTGGTGTAATGGTTAGCAAGTTTGTCTCGCTAGAACTATTAATAGTGATTTCGATCCTCACTGGGTGCCCCCTACTTTCGGCCTTGTGCCACATCTAAGCTACGCTTGGAAAATCGCTATATAGCGTGTCCATAAAGTTCGTGTACACTTTAAAAATTTATATCTGTATTTGCATTTGCGATAGAAATAATTTGTAAAAAGGATTAGAAAGAAGTAAATCTATATTTTTTAAGGTTTTATTGAAATTTTATTTAAGTTTCCACATCTCCTCCATCATTAGCAATAAAAAGGATAATACGATTTTGCAGTTCACGGAAAACATTTGCCAACTGATTTACAGAAATGCCTGAAATCACATTAGTTATTTTAGCTATACTTAACACTAAGTACATTAAACTTTATAACATTTTTTACAGATTATTTCTATCGCAAATACAAATAAAGTTAACAATTTTTTAAAGTGCACACAAGCTCTATGGACACCCTATATATATATATATATATATATATATATATATATATATATATATATATATGGCGGCGTGGAGGAAAACTAACTTACTAGACATAATATAGCACAGCTTCAATGGTAGTGACACTACTCTCAAGCATTCATAACCCTATAAGACTTGCCCCCGAGAGCAACTACTTCCTTCAACAAGCCATTCTGTTATGGTGCATTATAAGTTGGATACAGTATATGTTATAGAGAAATAATAACATAATAATTCATCATGTCTAGAACTGAAATCCTCAAAGCAGACACAAGCAGAAATGCGCTGAATGGCCGTTTCGTCCCTATTTCGGATTCATCAGACGCATTCTATCTGTTTCGTATCCTAAAGTATACAAAGACAATTTTCTTTAAGGAACTGGATTAAATCCGACAAATGATTAAGTTATATGTTTAAACGTTATTTTTAATGGGTACTCATATTTGTGTAGATGCTCTGTTTTTATGATTAAACATTATATTTTTTTTGTTTACATCTACATTCAATATTTACATTACATACTTACAGATAAGATTTCTCGAATTTTCAGTCCGGTAAATGTAAATAAATAAATATACTGTTTAATAATAAAAAAAAAATATATATTTATTTACATTTACCGGACTGAATGTTCGGGAAATCATGTTAGGAAATTCGGCATATATATATATATATATATATATATATATATATATATATATATATATATATATATATATATATAGTACGTGTGTGTGTGTGTGTGTAAAAATTTCAGATAGAGTATGTTTGTAAAGGACAATATGAATAAAGACAAAAGGAAAACTTATCTTAGTCAACGCGTTTCTTCCTCTGAGGGACTTTCTCAAAGCAAATACGACCATTTATTGTGACACGTATACAAAAGCAAAAATACATTATTTACATTATTCGGACTATTGTCTCCATCTTTGTCGGCATATTATTACAACGTTTCAGCCGTTGTACGCTCCAGCCTTCTCCAGGTGGTTGGAATGTCGAACTGAACCCTTTATTGCGCTCACTGGGGTAGACTGTAGATGGTTCAGTTCGACATTCCAACTACCCGAAGAAGGCCGGAGCGCACAACGGCCGAAACGTTATAATAAATATGGCGACAAAGATGAGGACAATAATCCGAATGATGTAAATAATGTACATAATACCTCATCTCAGAAATATAGACAGATACAAAATCAAAATTTTATTGGTATTTCAAATACACTGTACCTCTGATATTGAGCAATTTTATTTATGAATATAGCTTACCATAAAACTATATGTTTTACCATATATATATATATATATATATATATATATATATATATAATTTATTTGGTTAAGCGTTATTTTTAATGGCTACTCATATATTTATTTAGTTACATTTACCGGCCTGAATATTCGAGACATCTTATAAATATATGCCCCCTCCAGCAGGATTCGAACCTGAGTCCCCTAGTGGAAACCGTCATTAGATCTGGCGGGTTTTAGACCACTTGGCCACATAGGACCTCCTGATGAAACAAAGTCCGATTAATGCCTTTGAACACATATCTTCCTGATTCTCAAAATGTACATATCCGCTCAGTTTCGTATCCTAATATTAACAAAGATAGTTTTTTTTAGGAAATGGATTAAACCCGACAGATTTTTCATTCATTTTTTAAACGTTATTTTTAAATGAATTCTCATATTTTACCTCTATCTATAAAAGGCAGGATGTGTGTGTGTGTGTGTAACGAATGCACAGCCGCAATTTTCGACGGATTTGCACCAAAATTTACATGCACATGTTCCAAGTTAGCGGAAAGGGCAAGACTAACTTTGCATTTCCCAACTCCCATCGATAGTGGAAATAATCGATTTTTCATGCTTCTACGGCAGTTTTCATGTAGTTTGCGGCCATTTTCTACTGGCCAGAGTGAGAGACTATAGTTGGCTGCCACGAATAGGCAGGAAGATTCTATTGGCCAGCGTGAGAGCCAACAGCTGACTGACACGAATATTAACTAACATACTAGCATGCAAAAAAAAATCGATAGCTGCATTCGTCACAAGTGGGAAAAATTTAAATCTGCATAGCACTTTACTCCAATTGGCTTGCTTAAACTGTGTTGGATGTGAAAAAGTATTTGTTGTTAACATTCTTTTTTCATTCGGTTTTTCCAGTTACGAGTACATTTTTAAAGCTGATCGTTTTGTGTTCAAAATGTTAATGTTTAGTATAGAGCTTAGTATAAATTCGCATTGTGAGATAAGCAAGAAGTAAGGCATGTAGCAACATCAGCACGCCAAAGGGCACTCCTTTAAAGGCAAGGAAGGGCAAAAATATTTTAAGTCAACTCATAGCGATTGCTGTATGAGTCGTACGATTTTTGAATCAAGCACGGGCAACGCCGGGCCATGCTGCTAGTATATTTATGAAACGCTATAGTTATTTATTTTCATCTACCGGCCTGATTATTCGAGAAATCTTATTAGAATATATATATATATATATATATATATATATATATATATATATATATATATATATATACGGGTATCTCCACACTCTCTCTATTTTCTTTGAATTATTTGAACCTAAACCTTTCATTGTATAACAATCTGGGACCTTAGTTTGCAGGTGTGTTGCTATTTTTTTCCTCATGGGCAGACCGAAGTGTCTTCTTTCTCAACATTTCAGATAGTTTATGTAAATTTACTGCCACAATTTACAGGTGAAGACGACTTATGAAAAGACTGCTGATTAATAAATAAATAAAGAAATAAAGAAAGAAAGAAAGAAAGAAAAGAGAAAGAAAGAAAGAAAAGAGAAAGAAAGAATGAAGAAAAGAAGAAATTTAAAAAAAGAAAAAGAAAGGAAAGAAAGAAGAAAGAAAAAAGAAAAGAAAAAGAAAAGAAAAGAAAGAATGAAAGAAAGAAAGAAAGATAGAAGGAAAGAAAGAAAAATAGAAAAAGTGAGAAAGGGAAAGAAAGAAAAACAGAATGAAGAAAGAAAACAAAAGAAAAGAAAGAAGAAAGAAAAAAGAAAAGGATAAAGAGAGAAAGAAACAAAATAAAAAGAAAATAAAAGAAACAAAATATAAGCAAAGCAAAAAAAAGATAAAAAACGAAAGACAGAACAGAAATCGAAAGAAAAAAAGGAAGAAAGAAAAAAACAAAACAAAAAAGAATGAAATAAAAAGAAAGAAAAATAAAGATTAAGTAATGTGAACAATACAAAAAAATGGCGGATAAAATAGAAAGAGAGGTAAGAAAGAAGGATAAAATGAGATAAACACAAATGAAGAGAGAGAGAGAGAGGGGGGGAGAGAGAGAGAATACAGAGAAAGAAAGGACGTGGTGTAAGACGAAAGTAAAAGGAGCATAGCTAGAAAAGTTAAGAGAGAAAAGTATAGATAGAGACATTGTGTGACAAAAAAGAGTAAAGTAGTAGAAAGAGGAGGTAAAAAATCGAGAGATTAGCCAGTGGTTGAAGCAAAAAGAATCTCCTCATTTATCTGCCCTTGCCTACATGGTTGCCTGTCAACTGAGCCGTAAACAACGTAACCCCGAATTCACTTGGCCTGTATTTATCCACGGCCATTTAATTAGATAAATACCTAAGAGTAGGAGAAAACGAGAAATCGAATTTTTAATTTAGAAGGATGTTACCGCAAACTAAGGGAGGCACGGTGGAGTAATGGATAGCGGATCGGGTTGACGAATCGGAGAGCCGAGTTCGAATTCCAGTCGAATCCATTGCATGTCTTGGGAAAGGTGTGAATCTTTTTCTCCCTCCAGCTGTGGATAAAGAGCAGGAAAGTCCGAGTTCTCTAGCTTTGGATGGCAACTGGTCTACTGTAAAAAGAAATGGCAACATACTGCGGGGAAAAAAAAAAATCTGCCTCGTCAGTCATGTATCGAAAGATCGCCTAAGCGTGTATCACGCATGGCAGATGACTGACTGAATGTGTAATAAAGAAAAGTAAACATTAAAATGAATTTACAAGTTTAATTCAATGTCATCTGTTAAATCATTATGACCTTGATAGAAGAACGAACCAGTAAACAATATCCTGAGCAGAGAAGAAGGGACGATCCTTTACTCCTGTTCAATAGATGTAGAAGGAGTGCAGACAGTAAATATGAGGTTGAAGGCATTTCCCCCATCCAGAGACACCACAGATAGTTACCTATACAAATCGACGAAGAGCATAAAACCTCTTTTTTTCCAGGTGTAGTGATATAGGCAAAATGGACTTGCTTTATTTTGCATAGAGTCGAGTGATTACTAATAAGTTGTCACTCAGCTGGGAGGCAAAACCTTTACGTCACAAGCTAGAAGATATCACAACAAAAGCTGCTTGCAAATCTTCTAGTTTTGAAATGCTATCAGGGTTTGATTCTCTGATAAACCTACTGAGAATATAATATGGTAATGTGTGGTAAGGTAAAGGTATGAATCCTCTTCTCAAAGCTTATGGGTAAATAGCAGGACAGACCAGGTTCTATAGCTTTGGATGACAACTGGTCTATCGCAGAAAGAAATGGCAACCTACTGAGGGGAAAAATCTGCCACGTTATTCATGTATTGAAAGATATATGATCGCTTAAGCGTGTAACACGATATGGCACATAACTGACTGAATGTGTCGTAGAGAAAGATAAACAATAAAATGTATTTAAAAGTTTAATTCCATGTCATCTCTTAAGACAGTTAGATCATTATGACCTTGGTAGAAGAACGAACGAACCAGTAAACCATATCCTGACCTTTGAACAAGGGATGATCTTTTATTCATGTTCAATAGATATTGAAGGAGTGCAGAATGATGCAGACAGTGAAAATGGGGTTGGAAGCATTTTCCCCATCGAGACACCATAGATAGTCACCTATACAAATCAACGAAGGACATAAAACCTCTTCGTTTTCAGGTGTAGTGATATAGGCAAAATGATCTTCCTTTATTTTGAATAGAGTCAAGTGACTACGAAGTTAATTGTCACTCAGCTGGGAGGGAAAACTTCTGCGTCACAATCTAGAAGACCTCACAACAAAAGCTGCTAGCAAATCTTCTAGTTTTGAAATGCTGTCAGAGTTTGATTCTCTGATAAACCTACTGAAAATATAATATGGTAATGTGTGGTAAGGTAAAGGTATGAATCCTCTTCTTCTCCCCCACCCAGCTATAGGTAAATAGCAGGACAAACTGGGTTCTATAGCTTTGGATGGCAACTGGACTTCCGCAGAAAGAAATGGCAACTTACTGCAGGAAAAAAATCTGCCACATCAGTTATGTATTGTCCTAAGCGTGTTTTATACATGGTACATAACTGACTGAATGTATGCTAGAGAAAAGTAAACATTAAAATGTATTTACAAGTTTAATGCCATGTCATCTGTTAAGAGAGTTAAATCATTATGGCCCTGGAGGAGAAGAACGAACGAACCAGTAAACCATATCCTGAGCAGAGAACAAGGGATGATCATTTACTCCTGTTCAATAGATGTGGACACTCTGGTCAACGAAAGGCGTACCTTTGGACAGTCAAACTCTTTTTATTTTATTCCCATGGAATAAATGCTTTATAAAATGGCTTCTCTCCTCCACCCACCAGCTATGAGTAAATAGCAGGACGGACCGGGTTCTATAGCCTTCGATGGCAACTGGTCTGCCGCAGAATGAAATAGCAACCTACTGCGGGGAAAAAAAAATCTGCCTCGTCAGTCATGTATTGAAAGATAAATGATCGCCTAAGCGTGTATCACGCATGGCAGATAAGTGACTGAATATTGTAAAATGAAGGTTAATTTGGTCTTAGACTTCTTCTGAATGCTTGTACTGTTAAGAGTTTTTATGTATACTTGTGCATTTTAAAAGTATCAGGTCATCCCATAAGTCCTGTCCGAATTTTGAATAAAGAAAACAAGTGACCAAATGTTACATTTAATTACAGATTCGATCAACAATGCATTTTCTCTGATTATCTATGACTTCCTTCCATCTATTAAGAAGCTTACTAATTCCATTACTGTAAAATTCTTTTGGCTTCGAAGAACTCACAAATGTCAATTATAACCTCTTCCTGTGTTACAAAAGCTGTTTCATCCAAATGATTCTGTAAGCTACGAAACAAATGGTAGTCTGAAGGAGCAAGATCGGGAGAATAAGGTGGATGAGGAATTTTCTCCCAGCCAAGTTCTTCGATCTTTTGTGACGTGATTCTTGCTATGTGGAGTCGCACATTATCCTGATGGAACATCACTTCTTTTTGATTCACTAGTGCAGGTCATTTTTTCCTCAAAGCTTGGTTCAAACGCTATAATTACTGACAGTATATTTGAGCATTACCTGTTGCATTAGGTGGTAAGAATTCAAAGTGGATTATTCCTTGGCGATCCAACCAGATTGAAAGAAGAACCTTTTGCCCATGAAGTTCCCTTCTCGGCTGTGGCTGGGGTCCTTCCCCTTTACCAAGCCACTGTCTACGACGCTTAACATTCCGATAAAAGATCCATTTTTCGTCGCCAGTCACAAGTCTATCCAAAAAAGGTGAAACAAGTTGGCGAGAATGGAGAGAAGAGTAGATGTCAACTCGGGATTTCAGACAATTCATGAGGCACCCATTTTCCAAGTTTAGTTGTTGAAGATAACGATGAACAGTTGTAGGGCTGCTTCAAGAAGCTTTTCATCAAACTCAACTGGACGTCCGGTTTGATCTTCATCTTCAAGGGTGAAATCTCCACCTCTGAATTTTGCAAACCATCTTCTGCAAGTTCTTTCATTCACACATTCCTTTCCATAAACTGAGTGAATGTTTCTAGCCGCTTCGGCTGCTGAGTTTCCTTTCTTGAACTCATAAAGCATTATGTGCCTCAAATGATTCTTGGGTACTACCATGTTATCAGGGTTTTAGTCCAACAAAATTTAATTTTATTGTTCTCTGAAATAAAATTTGATCAGTTTAAATGCATCTAAACATAAAAATAATGTTCAGCTCCATTAGACATTATAAAATACTCTTTAAATTTCGTTCATTTTAACAAAAAGTTAAAATTCGGACAGAACTTATGGGATGACCTGATAAAATATATTTATGTATACATATTACTTTTTGATGTAAATTGTTGTTTCCTTATTGACTGATTCATTATTTACGGTTTATCAACCATTTCTAGGTTATTTAAAGTCAGAAAATATTCAGTATCTGTCTTTATTTCTGAGATGAGATATTATGTACACGATTTACATTATTCGGACTATTGTCCTCATTTTTGTTGCCATATTTATCACAACGTTTCGGCCGTTGTACGCCCCGGCCTTCTTCAGGTGGTTGGAAAATATTGTAGAAAGAAAAGAAGAAATCGAATTATAATTTCGGAGGATGTTATCGCAAAATGACGGTTCCTTTGATTTTAGTAATTCTCAGCGCAATAGAACTTCTCCGGTCCTGTTCCGTGAAGAATGTTCATCTATACTTGGGCATTTCACAAGTAAAATATGTTTATGTATACATATTACTTATTGCACTTCTTGATGTAAATTGCTGTTTTTTTATTGGTTGATTGATTGATATTTTTACGGCTTATCAACTCTTTGCAGTTTGTTTAAAACCAGAACATATTTTAAGAATGCAAGATTTTTTTTAAAGATAATAACGATTTAATAATAAGAGGTCTACTAATTAACCCATAGTTGGGGGAGAAAATGTTGGATTCATACTTTTCGGTATTTGAGCGTAAAGGAATGCAACAAACCAGACTGGAATTCGAATTCAGCTTTCCGATTAACAAGTTTAAGCCATTATCCATTACACCACTCGCACATCGGAGATTATAATCCTGATATTATCAAGCGGTCACCCATTCAGGTACTGACCAAGCTCAACGATGTTTAACTTCGGTGATCATACGGGAATCGGTGTTTCAACGTGATGTGGCATAAAATCTTTTCTGCGCGAACTTGCAAGCTTACGGTACCTGGTATTCCCAAGCGGTCACCCATCTAGGTACTGACCAAGCTCAACGTTGTTTAACTTCGGTGATCATCGGTGTTTCAACGTGATGTGGCCGTAAACCTTTTCTGCGAGGACATCCAAGCTTACGGTACCTGGTATTCCCAAGCGGTCAGCCATCTAGGTACAGCCTAAGCTCAACCTCGTTTAACTTCGGTGATCATATGGGAATCGATGTTTCGGCGTGATGTGGCCGTAGTGAGCACGAGTGAAAATTTCTCGTCAAAGCAGATTCCATGAAAATATTTTTAGAGAAGACGGGGGAAGCCACAGCGCGTCTGTGAGAAAGTGACTGCAGATGAGATGCCAGACCAGGAACTATCACATTGCATATCCGTCCCTGGATTTTGTTGAGGACCTCGAGACGAACAGCGCTGACACCAGATCATATATAGCAACGGGTTTCAGTGCAAGGGTGAATGATAGAGTTTTAGATTTGAAGGATGGACCCAGGCGCGAAAAACCTTCTGGCACGTCACAAAAAAACAACTTTCCTTCTGGTAGATGGAATAAAAAAGACACCACAAGGGTAAGACACCACTGCCTTACCCGGGTACTGAACTCACACGCTTTGGGTCCTGTTATTGTGTAATGTGTTTTTGAGGACACATGTCACAGTAGATAAAGGCGTTAGTGAGATCCAGTGACAGAACCCAGAGAGTGTGAGTTCAATACCCAGTTAAGGCAGTGGAGAACTTTCAGGGGGAAATTAACAGGAAATAACTAATAACTGACATCCATTAAACATGGCACGTGGAACTAGAACAGTCTACCCCAGCGAGCGAAATAATGGGTTCAGTTCGACATTCCAACCACCTGAAGAAGACCGGAGCGTACAACGGCCGAAATGTTATAATAAATATGGCGACAAGGATGAGGAAAATAGTCCGAATAATGTAAATACTGTACATAATACCTCATCTTAGAAATATAGACAGATATTGTGTCTAATGGTTCCAAGTATTTTCGACTATCCTTGGTCATTTACAAGTTAAGAATGTAGAATTCAAGAGGTGATCAGTAGAGTGTTTACATTGATAACGATCGGAAACTTAAAATGAATGTAAATTCACATGCTTTGGTGTCGGTATAGATTCTAGCATCGTGTGAATAAAAAAGCACAGAGTTCAATGACATTATAACGCATGCGGGCCAAGGTCAAAACAAATTTAATTTATGATGGTTGCAAACATTTTATGCGCAGTTTCGAAAATTTTCAATCGTTATTTTTTTATTATTTTTTTTTTCAGTAGGATTTGTAGTTGTCTGACTACGACTCTGGCAGTAATTAGAAGAGGCGACATTGATTTTTATATATGGCCGGCAAGATTGTTGATTGGTTGATTTTATTTAGTACCGGAATCTAAGTATTTTGAACGTAATTTTATGGCTTCAACTAAATATATTTTTGTACATAATTTTATACTTTCAGGGTAAACGTATGTTTTTTACGAATATACATTGTAGATTATAAAATGTATTGTTGGTGATTTTATTATAAAATGTATTGGTAAGTTTTTATAAAAATATATTGCTGGTAATTCTAATATAAAAATGTATATTTATACATTTAGATTGCATTTATTGTCATTTTTCTATAAAAATGTATTGTTGGTAATTTTGCTATAAAATGTTTGGTTGATCATTTTACCATAAAAATATATTGTTGGTCTTTTTTCCTTAAAATGTGTTGTTGATCATTTTGCTATAAAAAGGTATTGTTGGTCATTTTACTATAAAAATGTGTTGTTGGTCATTTTACTATAAGATGTACTGCTGGTTATTTTGCTATAAAAATGCGTTGTTGATCATTTTGTATTAAAACGTATTGTTTGTAATTTTATTATAAAAATGTACTGTTGATTTTTGTTTGCTGAAATTGGTGCTACCACTCTGGTCAGTGTGGACGTGGTTAACAATAGCAGTTAAGAGGTCGTTCCACGCTCCTCAAAACTTCCAATCGTCCGATCAGATGCCTTGCTGCCGGATGTAGTTTATCGTTAAATCCAGAGACGATGCTTCTTGTGACAAATGTAGTTTCACTAATATAAGCTGATTTTTTAAAATTATTAACACGGATTAAGTCTTACAAATAATAAGAGAATCGGTAAGCCACATAGATCTTTTTTTCATTTTGGGGTGTGTGGGTGGGGAGAAGTGTAGTTAGCAACCAAGAGGTTTGAATTTTTT